TGAATGTAAAGAGTAGGAAAATATTTCATGGAAATGAAAATGGAAAAGCTGGGGTAATAATCCTTATATCACACAAAATTGACTTTAAAACAATAAGAAGAGACAAAGAAGGACATTTAATAATGGTAAAGGGATCAATTCAGCAAGAGGATATAAATCATTTCCACATCCAATGTAAGAGCACCAGATTTATCAAGCAAATATTGATGGACATAAGGGAACAGATGGCAGAAATACAGTTGTAGTAGGGGACTTTAACATTTCATTGACATCAATGGATAGATCTTCTACACAGAAAACAAGGAAATGGCGACCTTAAGTGACATGTTAGATCAAATGGATTTCATTGATATTTTTAGAACATTTCACTCCAAAGCAGCAGAATGCACTCTTTTTTTTCAAGCACACATTTTTTTCAGGTGCACATTTTCCAGGATAGACTACACGTTAGCACAAACGTGTGTCTCAGTGAATTGAAGAACTGAAATGATACCCAACATCTTTGATCACAGTGGTATGAAACTGGAAATTTATTAGCAACAGCAAAACCTCCCCTGAACAAACACGCAAATACATGGAGCCTATACAACATGCCACTAAACAGTGAATAGATTAACAATGAGATAAATGAAGAAGTCAGAAGATACCTTGAGGCAAATGATAAAACATGACAAGGCCCTAGTTGGGTAGCTTAGCTGGTTAGAGCGTCATCCCAATACACCACGATTGAGCGTTCAGTCCCAATCAGGACATGTGCAAGAATCAGCTAAGGAATGCATAGGTAAATGGAACAATAAATAGATGTTTCTCTCCCTCTTTCTCTAAAATCAAAAAGAAAAAAACCCATAACATACCTTAACGTATGGGGCACAGCCAAAGCAGTTCTATGAGGCAAACTCATAGTATTAGAGGCCTACCTCAAGAAACAGGAAAAAATCTCAAACAATCTAACTTTACAACTACAGGAACCTGAAAAAGAAGAACCAATTAAGCCCAGAGTAAGTTAGAGGAAGGAAATAATAAATATCAGAGTGGAAACAAACAAAAGAGGCTCTAAAAAATACAAAATGCAATGAAAGAAAGAGCTGGCTCTTTGGAAAGATTAAACAAAGAAAGCAGCTAAACCTTTCAGCTGGATTCATCAAGAAGAAAAGAGGATCCAGATAAATAGAATAAGAAATGAAAGAGGAGCAGTGCTGGTTCTTTGAATAGATAAAATTAATAAAACTTTAACCAATGCATTATCAAACCCCCTCCCCCTGCCCCAAAAATACTTAGAGGACCCAATAAAATCAGAAATGAAAGAGAAGTAATAACTGACACACAGAAATACAAAAGATTATAAGAAAATATGAACAATTGTATGCCAACAAATTGGACAACCTAGAAGGAATAGATACATTTCTACAACCAACCTTCCAAGAATAAATCAGGAAGAAACAGAATTATGAAAAGGCTAACAAAATTGAATCAGTAATCAAAAAGCTCCCAACAAACAAAAATGTCCTGGACTGGATGGCTTCACAGGTGGACTTTACTAAACATTTAAAGAATTACCATGTATCCTTCTCAAACTAGTCCTGAAAATTCAAGAGAAGGGAAGGCTTCCGCACTCATTTTATGAGGCCAGTATTACCCTGATTCCATATCCTGACAAAGACATTACAAGTAAAATTATATGCCAATATCCCTGATGAGCTTAGCTGAAAAAACTTCGATAAGATTCGCAAACCCAATTCAGCAATACATTAAAAATATCATACCCATGATCAAATGGGATTTATTTTTGGAATACAAAATTGGTTTAATAGTCACAAATCAATTAATATCATACACCACATAAACGGAATGAGTGATGGAAGTCATATCAATAGATGCAAGAGAGCATTTTACAAAATCTGGCATCCATTTATGCTAAAAAACTTAGTGTGAATAGAGAGAACATACTTCAACATAATAAAGGCCATATATGACAGACCCATATCTTAAATCATACTTAACAGTGAGAAGCTAAAAAACATTATCCTTAAGCTCAAACAAGACAAGGATGTCTGCTTTCCCCACTTTTATGCAACATAATACAGTGGTACCTGAGTATACTCATCATTAATGCATTTGGAACTCGTAATGAGTGCCAAAACTGATGAGTATGATGAGTGATGAAGCAGTTCGTCTTGTGGGGTGGTGTCATGACTCATACAAGTTCTAACAAGTGCAGTGAGTCCCAAGCAAGTGCCAAGTGTTGAAACACTTTTTTCTTGTCAAAATGCAATGAGTACAGGGTTTGACAAATTCTGAAGCCAACAAGACCTGAGGTATGACTATATTGAAAGTCCTCTACTTGGAAAATTATGACATTGAAAAAAGAAATTGAAGAAGATACAAATAAACAGAAGCATATATATGGTTGAAATGTTTTAACTTGATTAAAATGTCCCTAATTAAAGCAATGCATAGATGCAGTGCAATCTCTATCAAAATACCAGTGGTGTGTTTTCACAGAATTAGAACAAAGAATCCTAAAATTTACCGTATTTTGCTGTGTATAATGCACTCCCATGTGTAGTGCAACAACGTTTTTGGCCCAAATTTTCAAGAAAAAATCATTTTAATTTTTTAATTCAATTATTTATTTACTTATATTTAGAAACAAAACTGATTATCATATTCCAGGGTATTATTTTGCATATGGATATTGTTACTGCTTTCTAGAGTCCATAAGCATAAACAAAAGAACTAGAAAACATTGATATAGATACGTAATTAGTACTACCCATGAATAATGCACATCCTTATTTTTCCCTCAAAAATTTGGGCAAAATGTGCATTATACACAGCAAAATACAGTATATGGAACCACAAAAGACCCTTATTAGCCAAAACAATCTTGAGAAAGAACAAAGTAGGAGGTATCATGCTACCTGATATCAAAAACTACAAGGCTGTAGTAATCAACAGCATTGTACTGGCCTAAAACCAGACAACTAGATCAATGGAACAGAATAGAAAGCCCAGCTGAAATAAACCCAAACCTATATATGGTCAATTAATCTATGACAGAGGAGGCAAGTATGTACAATGCAGTACAGTCTAATAAATGGTGTTGGTAATATTGGACAGATTATGCAAAAAAATCAAAACTAGAGCACTTTCTTATACCATATACAAGAGTAAACTCAAAATGGATTAAAGACTTAAAGGTAAGACTCAAAATCATAGAACTAAAAGAAAACCGGCAATAAACTGACATTGCTCTCAGTACTGTTTTTTGATATGACTCTTTAGATAAGGGGAACAGAAGACACAACAAACAAGTGGGACTACATCAAACTAAAAAGTTTTTGCACAACAAAGGAAACCATCAGCAAAACAAAAAGAACCTAATGAATGGGAGAAGATATTTGCCAATGATACATCTGATAAGAGTTAACATCCAAAATATATAAGGAATTCATACAACTTAGCCCTCTCAAAAACAACCAACCTGTAACAAATAGGCAGAGGACCTGAATAGATATTTCTCCAGAAAGGGATTACAGTTGGCCAGTAGACATACGAAAAGATGCTCAACATCATTAATCATAAGAGAAATGCAAATTGAAACCACAATGAGGTGCTACCTCACACCTGTCAGAATGGCTGTCATCAATAAATTAGAGTAAGTGTTGGTGAAGAAGTGGAGAAAAGGAAACCCTCATGGTTTTAGGCCTGATTGCAAAATGGTTCAGCCAGTATGAAAAGCAATGTGATATTTTTCAAAAAGTTAAAAACAGCCCTGGATGGTGTGGCTCAGTGTATTGAGTGCTGGCCTGTGAACTAAAGGGTCACTGGTTCTATTTCCAGTCATGGCACATGCTTGGGTTGTGGGCCAGGTCCCCAGTAGGGGGCGTGTGAGAGGCAACCACACATTGATGTTTCCCTCTCTTTCTCCCTCCCTTCCCCTCTCTTTAAAAATGAAAAAATAAAATCTTTATAAAAAAAGGTTAAAAATAGAACTGCCATATTACCCAGCAATCCTACTTTTTGGCTTGGTATTTATCCAAAGAAATCCAAAACACTTATTCAAAAAGATATTTGAATCCTTGTGTTCATTGCAGCTTTATTTACAATAGCCAAGATATGGAAGCAACCTGTGTCCATCTGTTGACAGTTGGAGAAAGAAAATGTGATATATACATGCAATGGAATGTTATTTGGCCATAAGAATGAATGAAATCTTAACCATCTGCAACAAGATAACATGGATGGACCTAGATGGTGCTGAATGAAATAAGTTAGAGAAACATGGTTACCATACGATTTTACTTATATGTAGAAGGTAAAAGACAAAATAAATGAACAAACAAAACAGAAGCAAACTCAGATGCAGAGAGCAAACTGATGGTTGACCAGTGGGAGGAGGTTTGAAGGGATGGGGAAAGGGGAAGAAATTAAGAAGTGTAAATTGGCAGTTACAAAGTAGTCACAGGGATGTAAAGTACTGCTCAGGGGATATAGTCAATAATGTAATAACTGTTTATGGTGCCCAATGGGTACTAGATTTATCATGGGGAGCACTTCATATGTTTTGTGAATGTCTAACCACTATGCTGAATGCCTGAAATTAATACACTATTGAGTGTCAAGTGTAATTGAAAGATGAAAAAAATTAAAAAGTATGAGAAAGTAGAAGTAATCTGTAATTCTTTTTCCTACCTGTGTTGAGATTCTTATGTGTTGCATTTCAGAACGTTTTTTTTTCCCCTCACATAGTTTCTGTAAGATAAGTAGAGTATAGAAGTTTTTGTTTTTAAAACGGTATTTATGTTGGAACCTAAAAGAATTTTGTATATCCTCTTTTTCTAATAAATAACGTCATGAATATTTATTTCCATACAGTATTCTTAGTAAATATTGAAAATGATGCATAGATAAATTATAATTTAGCCATTCTGTTGCTGATGTATAATCTCCAATCAATTTGATTTGAACTTTGAACTACTTGTTTCCTTCCTCTGCAGGACACTTTTAAAGTACATTATGAGAACAACAGCCCTTTCCTTACTATCACCAGCATGACCAGAGTCATCGAGGTCTCTCACTGGGGTAATATTGCTGTGGAAGAAAATGTGGACTTGAAGCACACAGGGGCTGTCCTTAAGGGGCCCTTTTCACGCTATGATTACCAGAGACAGCCAGATAGTGGTATATCCTCCATCCGTTCTTTTAAGGTATCGAGTGTTCCACTTGGACATTGGGAGAAACTATGACTTTATCGCTGGGAGAAAATTTTCACATTTGCTCTTTTGTTTGCTTTTTGAAAGTAGTTAAATATGGACAGTTTAAGATTGATGTTCAAGTGGTTGAATGACAGGGTTAGAAACAAGAGGAAGACTCTAAAAAATGCTCCCATTTACATAAGTAGGCCATGTTTTGTAAAGAAAATTTAGATAATAGGGAAAGGAAAAACAATACCACCCTTAATACACTAGTGTTGCTGATATTTTGATATTTTTTATACTGTTTTTTAAAAAATTTGTATTTTATATAGTTTATTTTTTGTGTGTTATAAATTAAATCTTATAAGCATATTCTCACATACTTACACATATTACAGAAGGGCTTACTGTACAAAAAAGATACTACATTTTCTCCCCCTGGTTACCAAAATATGCTTTCAGGTTTGGAAGACACAATAAAGAATATTAGGAAGAGAAAACCCTTCTATAACACTCCCTATTACCTAGTTATTTGATATAATTTCTTTCTTCTTGAGTTTCCCTCAGTAAAATAACTCAGATTGTTTTTACCTTTGTTTTCCCTTTGGTATTCACAGAGGTATTTATATTCTCTTTATTATTGTAGAAGAATTTGGCTGTTTCTCAACCTCTTGTAAGAAGTAGATCTAGCTAGTGAATCTAGCTAGATATTTTGAAGCCATGGGGGAAAAGTTAGACTTTTTAGGTTGGGGACTATTTTAATTGAGTAGCACTATGATGAACATTTTGGTGCAGAAAAATCTTCTCTGTGTTAAAGATTATTTCCTTTGAAAAAGTTTTGTGTTCACTCTCTTGCAGACAATCCTCCCTGCTGCTGCCCAGGATGTTTATTACCGGGATGAGATTGGCAATGTTTCTACCAGCCACCTCCTTATTTTGGATGACTCTGTAGAGATGGAAATCCGGCCCCGCTTTCCTCTTTTTGGAGGGTGGAAGACCCATTACATTGTTGGCTACAACCTCCCAAGCTATGAGTACCTCTATAATTTGGGTCAGTCTTTTTAATTTTTAAAACATATGTTTATTAATTTGGGAGAGAAGGGAAGGTGGGGGGAGAGAGAGAGGGACAGAAATACATGATTAGTTGCCTCCCTGGTCAACATGCCTTGACTATGGATTGAACCTGCAACTTAGGTATGTGGCCTGTCAAGCATATGAATCCCCAGCCTCTTGGTGTTGGGACGACACTCTAGCCAGCTGAGCTTCACCAGGCATGACAGTCCTTTTTTTTTTTTAAAGTCGATTTATTGGGGTGGCACTAGTTAACAAAATCATAGGTTTCAGGTACAATTTGGGCCATTCGTAATAGTAAGGGTGTAGAAAAGGAAGACACCATCTTTTTCTTTAATTTTATGTATTTGTTTGCTTATTTATTTTGACAATTGCCAGTCCTTCTGCATGGGCAGAGAGAATATTCTCTTACCATTCTTAAAAAGGCTGGGATATCAGGAACAGCTTTCCATGGGTTGGGTACAAATGACTATTATAAATGTAATATAATATATGCATAAAGTAATCAGTTCAGACTGAAGCTCCTTATCTTCACTTAGTCTTGAAGCTCCTATCTTCACTGAGTCCTGATTTGATCACCAGTGCACACCTAAGTCCTGATAAACAAACCCATGTCTTTCATAGCCAGTCCTCCAAGTTGTTTCTTTGGATTCAGCAAGCAGCAGACTAAGGTTTTCTCGACCTCAGCTCTTTGCATAACAATGACCTACAGGGATTTTGCTTTTGTATTTTTATCTATATCTAATTCCATATTGAGAATCCTGGTTGTGAAGGACACAGGATAATAGAATTAGAATATTTCATAAATAGTCATTTGTTTTATCCCACACCTCATACACAGCAGTCAATAAAAGTGGTCATATTATACCTTTCACTATGTTTACTGAAAACAGCTAATTTATTTTGCATATCCTTTTCTTTCTCCATAGGACCTCATTTTTTTTTGTGTGCTATATGTATACTGTGAGAAAAAAATAGCCATTACATAGTATACTTTCTCCTTTTTTTAACATTAGCCTTAGTTCTAGAGATAATTATATTTAATACTCACCATCAGTTTTTACGTTGATTGATACCTTGAGTCATTTTGATGATCTGGAGCTCCTTTAGTAGATACCACAGAAGAGGCTTGGTGAGTTCTTACAGGTTGAGAACAGCTGTTCCTTTTGTGCTTATAAGTCATTTTTCCTGAATATAAAATTTTTGGCTTTCACTTCTTTCCTTGAATATCTGAAATATTGTTACTTCATTTTTCTTTTTTCAGCATAAAGTGTTCCTATAAAGCGGTGATGAAAACTTACTTTTTTCCCCCCCCTTATAAGTCACTTGCTCTTTTTATGTAGATGCTGAAGAATTCTTTCTTTGAAGTATAATTCTTTTTTAAATATCTATTTTATTAATTATGCTATTATAGTTATCCCATTCCCCCCCACTTTATTCCCCTCCACCCTGCACCACCCCTCCTCTTAGCATTCCTCCGCCTCCCCCCACCCCCCCAAATTCATGTCCATCGGTCATACCTGTAAGTTCTCTGGCTTCTCCATTTCCTATACTACTCTTAACCTTCCCCTGGCTATTTTGTACCTATTATTTATGCTGCTTATTTCCTGTACCTTTTCCCACATTCTTCCCCCTCCCCCTCACCTCTGACCTCCATTTCTATGATTCTGTTCCTGGTCTAGTTGTTTCTTTAGTTTTTTTTTTTTTTTTTTTAGGTTCAGTTGTTGATAGTTATGAGTTTATTGTCATTTTATTGTCCATAGTTTTTGATCTAATTTTTCTTAGATAAGTCCTTTTAACATTTCATGTAATAAGGGCTTGGTGATGATGAACTCCTTTAACTTGACTTTATCTGGGAAGCATTTTATCTGTTCTTACATTCTAAATAATAGCTTTTTTGCATAGAGTAATCTTGGGTGTAGGTCCTTGTCATTCATGACTTCCGAAAACTTCTTGCCAGCCCCTTCTTGCTGCATAGTCTTATGGGAACTCCTTTGTAGGCAACTGTCTCCTTTTGTCTTGCTGCTTTTAAGATTCTCTCCTTTTCCTTAATCTTGGGTGATGTAATTATGATGTGCCTTGGTGTGTGCTCCCTTGGGTCCAACTTCTTTGGGACTCTCTGAGCTTCCTGGATCTCCTGTGAGTCTTGGCCAGATTGGGGAAGTTCTTCATTATTTTTTCAAATAAGTTTTCCATTTCTTGCTCTTCCTCTTCTCCTTCTGCCACCCTTATGATTCAGATGTTGGATTGTTTAAAGTTGTCCCAGAGGTTCCTAAGCCTCTCATTTTTTCGAATTCTTGTTTTTTCATTCTGTTCTGGTTGAATGTTTATCTTTTCCTTTTGCTCCCAGTTGTTGATTTGAGTGCCGGTTTCCTTCCCTTTGCTGTTGGTTCGCTGTATGTTTTTCTTTGCATAGCCTTTACTTTTTCCTCCATTTTGCTACCATATTCAGCCAATTCAGTGAGTATCCATGTTACCAGGGTTTTGAACTGTGCATCTGATAGATTGGCTGACTGTTCATTGCTTAGTTCTATTTTTGGAGCTTTGATCTTTCATTTGGGCTATATTTCTTTATCTCAGCTTGCCTGTTACATTACGAGGGGCAGAGCCTTAGGTATTAATCAGGGCGGGGCAACCTGGATCACTGAGTTGTGACATGTGTGAGGGAGGGGTTAGAGAGGGAACAGTGCTGCTTGCTTGGCTCTCAGAAAGCTTTCAGTCATTTCCCCTGATACCCACAAGCAAATTGGGCCTTTCTTACAGTTCGATTCCCTGGTGTGTATACATTTCTAGGACCCTATGGGTTTCTCCAGCGGACTCTCCTGTGAGGCTGGAAGTTTCTCCTGCCACCCCCCGCCCCCCCACAGGCTTTTACCTCCTGAGGTTTTGAGGCTTTCTTTTCCCGCACTGGAACCCTGGATTGTGGTCTCTCTCACTCCCCAGCTGTTCCTCAAGATTCATCTTCACTCAAATGTGGGACCACCTAGTCTGCCAGCTGCCGCCTCCCCTGCCTGGTCCTTCAGCTGCCGCCTTGCTGTGTGTCATCTCTGCCCTGGCTGTCCGTCTCTGCCCCTCCTACCGGTCTGGATGAGTGTTTCTTCTTTAGCTCCTAGGTTGTTGGACTTCCCATACAGTTCGATTTTCTGATGGTTCTGGTTATTTTTTGTTTTTAAATTTGTTGTCCTTCCTTAGTTGTGTGAGGAGGCAGAGTGTATCTGTCTATGCCTCCAACTTGGCTAGAAGTCAAAGTTATAATACTATTACAAGGACATGGCAGTGGTTGCTATTCATTATAGTCATTCAACTTAGAATTTTAAACTTACTTAAAAGTTTTCTCCAGTTGGGACTCCTATTATTTCAGTGTTGAATCATTGTCTTCAGTGTTTGGCTCTTTCTCTTGAATCTTTCCTTCATTTAAAACTTTTCTTTTTTTACCTTTTTATCATAAGGCATTATCTGTTTATTCACTCACATTCCTTCTAGTTTAGTTTTCATTTCTAAAATGATTTTTTCTTTTATTTATAATTTTTTTTCCTGAGGTCTGTCACTTTTCTGAATTTCTATAAATCTGGTTCATATTGCTCTTCATTTTCACAATGCCTTTAGCTTGTTTTGAAATAGTAAGAACAGTTTTGGTTGGTTTTGTGGGCATGTCTTATGGCATACTTTTATTTTTTGTAGGTTTTTTTTTTTTGGTAACCTAAATTATTTTTCATTATAGTTGTCATCATAAGTGTTACTCATTTTTAACATGAACTTTTAGGAGGAATAATTGTAACTGCCCAATTCTCTGTTGTTTTAGTGTAGTATTAAAAAATATGTTGACTTGTTTTCTGAGCTTTCTCTGGCTTTGTTTTCCTATAGTTCTGTTGTCCCTGTTATGCTTGGTTTTGATACTACTCCAGCAGTTTTTCATAGTGTACAGTACTGTCCTGGAAGGGGAACTCTGATGGGCTTTTCATAGTTCTCTGGATTAGACTGCTCTAGACTTAACAGATCTTCTGCAGGCCCATTTTACTCATGTACTGTGCAGGGTGTAGGACTCCTGAGTTTTAGTTACTTCTCCAGTTTGCCTGCTATACTCTCAAGTGAACACAATTGTCTGTCAGTGGCTCTTCTGTTCTCAGGTCTATGAGTTGCTCTGTTGCATCCCTTTGCTTTCTCATACCCATAGTTCACAGACACTAATAATGTGTAGGTCTTGTGGCTCTTGGTATTTTGTGGACAACATCCTCATATTTTGAGATTTGTGGAGGTTCTTTGTTACCTAGTTTTGTTGTGAGTATGGTCCACGGGTTTCTTATTTTGTTACCTAATTGCTCCGTCTTTATGTGGAAATTGGTAAAGACCCAGAATCTGTGCTGCCACCACCACTCTGTCTTCTATTGTCATCTAGTCTATTAACTTTAGATAGCATCTTTACTCCTCTTTGTGTAAGATAGGAGAGTTCATGCCCAGTACTTCCTTCTAGCTCCTGTCTCATTTTCTCAGTTTTTCACATCATTGCATGTGTTTGCTTAATCCTCTAGGCGACCAGTATGCACTGAAGATGAGGTTTGTGGACCATGTGTTTGATGAGCAAGTGATAGATTCTCTTACTGTAAAGATCATCTTGCCCGAAGGAGCCAGGTGAGTGTGACTATTCCTTTCTTCTGCTCCTCGTTTCTCTGGCAGTGCCCTTGGTACCAAAAGGAAATTTGCATTCAAGGGGCACAGGATAAATGTTTAGTACCTAGCTGTGACTGAGAATCCTGTAGAGACCTTCTGACAAGAGTTTAAATAGGAAAATTAGCTTCGGATGAGGGAACAAGATTTGTTTATGAAATATTTCTCAAACACAGTGCCTTTGTGTGACAGGAGCAGTATCCAAAGTCACCTTAATAGGCCAGAATGATGGCCTGAATCTGGGAATAATTCAGAGTCAGGACAGTCAGGTATCCTTTGTGCTATGTTAATAGAATGAAGAAGAATAATGGAACAGTGGCTTCATTTTATCCTGGGTTCTTTAGACGAGGTTCAGGAAGGTGGGTGGAGGGAGGGGATCTCAGATGGTATATTAGGGTTCCGTGGTTACAAGCAGTAGGAGCTGATTTTGGCCAACTTAGGCAGAAAGGAATGAATTTGGAAGGGTAAGGGATATCATTAAATGACAGCATAGGCTGAGGAAGTAGGCTTTGGAAAGCCAGAGCCAGAGCATCTTCAGGACCCCAGGTGGCTGAAGGTGATGGACACTCACAGGGCTCCTGCCCTTGGCATGAGTGACAGGCACCCTTTTGTAAGCTTTGTGTCATTTTGCTCTTGATTCACATTAAAGGGAAACATCTACCTGGCCTCTCTTCAGTTATTTGTTTACTCTGATCATCAGAAGGAGAGGAACCTTGATTGTTCTTCCTATGGAGGACATTCAGTGGGGAATGGTTAATTCCTCCAAGTAAAACTGGAGTACTATTGACTAGGAAAAGGTAGAGTCTGTGAAGACAAAAGCAGGACATGTCCACTATACCCTAGAACAAATTTTCAATCATATGAGAAGACAGAACATTTGGAGTAACTTTTCAGGGACCTCTTCAAGTCCCTGAGAGGCTCTTGTTGGGTAGAATATGCACAAAGTTCTGTGAACTGTGTGACTCCAGGGGGTAGGCCAGTACTGGTGAGCCCTTATGCTTTCAGGATACAGGGAGACAGATAGTTGTTGCCTCAGCAGAAGAGTGGTCTCATACTTAGGTCTTTCCGGCAATGGGTCAGCTGTCTCAGGTGGCTGGGTGTTCCCTGGTGCTGGAAAGAGAGCAGAGTGGAGCTTGAATTTAATGACCCTGAAAGGTCCCCTGAAACTTAGAATTTTCCAACCCTAAATAAATCTATTTGGTCATTGCAATTTGTCTGAGGTTGTATTTTATTCCCATGTGCTTCCAGGAACATTCAAGTTGACAGTCCTTATGAAATCAGCCGTGCCCCAGATGACCTGCACTATACCTACCTGGACACATTTGGCCGCCCTGTGATTGTTGCCTACAAAAAAAATCTGGTAGAACAGCACATTCAGGACATTGTGGTACGTGGCTCCACTATTCTGCCTCCTATACCTCCCTTCCCAGACAATGGGGACCCATTCTGGAGACCAGGACTTACCCATCTTTCCCTCCTTCGGCTGGGGGGCTTAAACACAGCATCCAGTATGATTTGGGCTGGGCAGGTGGGGTGGGGCAGCCCGGACAATTGTTGGCTTGGTGAAACTCTTTTGGCCCCCAGGTTTCTGAGTACCTGTGGATCTGTCAAAGCCCATCTCCTTGGTTCTCCTCCCAGGTGCACTACACGTTCAACAAAGTGCTCATGCTGCAGGAGCCCCTGCTGGTAGTGGCTGCTTTCTACATCTTGTTCTTCACGGTCATCATCTATGTCAGGCTGGACTTTTCTATCACAAAGGTATGCTTGTGGCTTTCTTCTTTTCTTGTCATGTAGTCATTTTGCATCCTCAATAATGTGTTTCACTAGCTTTACTGAGCGTTGGTCATCACAACAAGGCCAAGGCAGAATGCCGTTGCCCAGAAGACTCTCTCCTGCAGCTTCTGCTAATTCTTATGTAAAGATATCTTGTTGCTGTATCTATAGAGCATGGAGCATGCACAGGTTGCTAATGGTGGTGAGTACTCTGGGAACAGGGCAGTAGGCATAGTGTGTGTTTTTGGTGGTGGGGCCTGCAGTCCTGAAAAGGCTACCCTGAGAAGGCGACAGGCAGAAAAGGTAGAGAAGGGCACTTAGCTAGAAGGGAACAGTTTGTGGGACAGCAGGGAGGGCTTCCCACGGGGACCTGTGGGTAGCAGTAGTGTGCATGTGAGCAAAGATGTTCATCTAGCCAGTTCCATAGACCAACGAAGCTGCCCAAGGGTCAAGATGGTACACCTGGGGCAGCTGCTAGCAAACCTTGTCATGCAGAAGGGGCTGAGTCTGAGTTTTATTATGAAATAACCCTATGTTTTAAGCTATAAAGTTTGCTTTTCTTTTACTGATTTTTTAATAAAAATGCCATATTTATAGAAACTTTGCAAAAAAGATAAACATAACTCTTGTATGATCATCACCTAGACATGCCAGTTAACGCTCAGCCTGTCTGTGTACATCATTTTTCCTGAACGATATGAGGAGTTTGCAGATATTTGTGCTCCTTTACCCTTGAATACTTAAGCATGTATGCAGCCTGAGAATAAGAACATTCTCTTACATAACCATGAGCAGTGATCAGATTCAGGAAATGTGATGTTACATTTCTGTTTGTGCCAGTAATAACTTTTATAGTAATTTTCATACTTCAGAATCCAATTGAGAATCATGTAGTTTATTTAGTTATTACAGTTCCTTAGTCTCCTTTAATCTGGAGCAGTTCCTTAGCCTTTGTCTTTAATGACCTTGACATATTTGAAGTTTAGAGGCAGTTTTTGTAGACTGTCCCTTAGTTTATGTTTATCTTATGTTTTTCCCTGATTAAATTCAGATTATGCATTTTTGGCAAGAACACTATAAAGTGATGCTCCATCTGCTTACAGTCTGCCTGGTTTCTTCTCTGTAAAGTTATTGTTTTTCTCTTTACAATTAATAATTTCTTTGAGACTATATAAACATGTTCATATACATTCATGTATTTGTTGTAGCATTTATTATTCTTGTCTGAATATGTTTTTTAGTATAGTGGTTGAAAAACTGATACCTTTTATATTATTAGTTGGTATTCTCTAAAAAAAGGCTTTTCTTATTGGTTGATTGGTTATTTTTTTGGATTCAAGTGTTCTTACTGTGTTCCATGGATTATTGTTCTCTGGTACTATTTATTTATTTGTCCTCACCCAAGGGCATATTTTTTTCATTGCTTTCAGATAGAGAGGAAGGGGGAGAGAGAAACTCGATGCGAGAGAGAAGCATCAATTGGTTGCCTCCTGAATACACTTGGACCAAGGGCCATATGTGCCCGGACTGGGGATCAGACCCGCAGCCTAGATATGTGCCCTGATCGGGAATTGAACCCACAACTTTTCAGTTACAGGATGACGCTCCAATCAACTGAGCCACATCAGCCAGGGCCACTGATACTATTTATTTTAATGCTCTAATTGTCTCAGATTTGACTGTCCTTTTAACATCTCCATTTTTGGGGTAGGGGGACACCTCTGTATTGTTGGCACAGTAACATGTTTCAGACAAATCTTTATCCAAGGAGCCCTGCTTCCTTTCACTGCAGAATGGTACCTTGAGACCATGGTCTGTGAGCTAGGTGTGATCATTGCCTTTGGACTATAAACTGCTTCTCGGCCTTTTCAACAGACAGATCTAGGAGATGAGTATATGTGTTATTTAAAATATGAATTAATATTGATGTCTTTAATTCCAGTCTAACACCACAGGGTTATTACCTGTCTTCCTTTATGCCATTTTTCCTCTTTCCTGACTCCCTACAACGTCAATATACTTATTTATTGAATTCTATAAACACACAAAATAGTTTTAGAACTGGTACACTCAATACCAGTCCAAACAGCAAATCTACCAATCAGAGTCTAAGATTTGTTTGCAGTTTTTTGTTTTTAGACTGAGAATATATTGTCAAAGCACTATGTTCCCAATGTATTTGGTTTAGTTTATCCTGGGATAATCATTTGAAATATAGCTAAGTTCATTTATTTCTGTTTGAATTTTTTCTGGTTTTCCCTCCATCATTGTGAATACTTAATTTTGATTACGAATTTGTAAAACATTGTAAAGTTCTAAATTTACAACTTAAATGATACTGATTCCTCCACTCTTTCCTAACCTGCCTTGTAGGTAACCAGTTTCATCAGTCATGGGATGTCCTCTCTGATATGTTTATTTTGCAAAAATAAGCAGATACTTTATTTTTTTAAGTATTTTTTAAAAAATCCTCACCTGAGGATATGTTTATTGATTTTATTAATTTATTTATTTTTAAAGGTTTTATTTATTTTTAGACAGAGGGGAAGGGAAGGAGAGAGAGGGGGACAGAAACATCAGTGTGTGGTTACTTCTCACACACCCTCCACTGGGGACCTGGCCAGCACCCTTGGCATGTGCCCTGTGGGAATTGAACAGGTGACCCTTTGGTTCTCAGGCCACCATTCAATCCACTGAGCCACAACAGCCAGGGCTGTTTATTGATTTTAGAGAGAGGAAGAGAGGAGAGAGAGAGTGAGAGAGAGAGAGAGAGAAACACCAGTGTGAGAGAGAAGCACCTATTGGTTGCCTCCCGTATGTGCCTCAGCCAGGAAATTGAATCCTCAACCTTTTGGTGTACAGGATGATGGTCCACTGACTGACTCACCTGGCCAGGGCAGCAGATACGTTAATTTTTATTTTCTTATGTAAGAGGTAACAACAATATATATTCTTTGTACTTTTCCTCTAAAAAATACATATTTTTTTATTGACTTTTGGGGGTAGGGGGAAGAGAGATGCATTCATAGATTGCCTCTTGTATGCGTCCTGACTGGGGATTGAACCTGCAATCTTGGCCTAGTGGGATGATGCTTCAACCAACTGAGCTACCTGGCCAGGGCTGTACTTTTCCTTTTTCACTTAACAAATGTATCCTGAAAATCACCCATATCAGTTCTTAGAGATTGTCCTTATTACTTTTTTTTTAAATTGCTGTAGAGTACTTCATTGTATGGATTAGTCATTGTTTATTCAACCAGTTTCCTATGTATATATCTATTTTAAAACTTGGATAACTTATTGAGAAAAAAATTAATTGTGGGCCAAATCAATCATTTGCACACTAGATTCAGCCTTTGAGCTGCCAAGTGAGGACTTTTGTAGTAGACAACTAGTGAGAGGTGATTTGGGAAAGTCTGTAGGGCCTCATCTAATGGACCTTGAATGGTAGGATAAGGAGTTTGGGTTTCTCCTTTAGGCCCTGGGAAACCCTTGAAGTTTATAAGGAGAGAGACATAATGAACATCCTGAAAGCCTTCTCTGACCTGAGCTGAGATTTCTCTTTCCTGAGCACCCTGTGCCTTTTGTGGTGCACTCTGGCATTAGTACCCTTTTCTGCATCTGTCTGCCTACCCTGCTGGACTTTAAAGTGAACATATGTTTCATCCCCATGTCCCAGTCTTGCCCGTTGCTGAACCAGTCCAGATTCAGTGTTAGTATGGGTTTGATTCTCTGACTTTCCGAGAAGGTGGGTTTAAAAAAAAAAAAAAAATTAAAAAAAAAATTAATTAATTTAGAGCAAGGGGATGGGAAGAAGAAAGAGGGAGAGAAACATCAATGTGAGAAACATTGATCCATTGCCTCTTGTATGCACTCTGACTGGAAACCTGCAAGCTAGGCATGTGCCCTGACCAAGAATCAAACCTGATGACCTTTCGCTTGGCAAGATGAGGTCCAACCATCTGAGCCATACCAGTCACAGCAGAAGATGGCTTTTGTTTGTAAAGCAGGTGATGGATGATCTTTGGCAGGTGAAAATTGGAGTTGGCTCAGGCCTGGTTTCATTACACACAGTATCTCTCCTGCAGGATCCAGCTGCGGAAGCCAGGATGAAGGTTGCCTGCATCACAGAGCAGGTCTTGACCTTGGTCAATAAGAGAATAGGTCTCTACCGTCACTTTGATGAGACTGTCAATAGGTATAAGCAGTCCCGGGATGTGTCCACCCTCAACAGTGGCAAGAAGAGCCTGGAGACAGAACACAAGGCCTTGACCAGTGAAATAGCACTGCTGCAGACCAGGCTGAAGACAGAGGGCTCTGACCTGTGTGACAAAGTAAGTGTCTGCCAACACTGAGTCGCTTGGCTTCTTACCTTCCATAACCCAATTTTGGGGGTTGTACCCAGCTGTCTAGAGCATCGTATAGCTACTCTGTCTGGATCAGAAAGCAGGTAGCTCTTACTCACTTCTGGCTTGTGGGGTGATATCTTACCCAGTTGTAGACTTGTGGCATGGTGTCAACCTTTGCAGTGGAACAAAAAGCTTTGGGGTCTCGGCTAGCTTCTATAGCACTATCTGTCCACATGGTCAGTATTGAGAGCAGCTGCTTCCTCTCCTGGAGGCCAAACTGAACAAGGTAAGAAGAACCTAAACTTAGAAGAATGGATTTGAATCCAGGCTATGATTGAGACTTTGTAAACCTAGGTAGTCTGTCTCACTTCTCTAAATCAGTTGCTGCGCATGGAAACTGGGGATGCTATTAGTACTTACCTCATAGGGATTGTGAGTGTGAAATGAGTTTAGTACATGTAAAGTGCTGAGAATCCTGCCTGGGACATGCTGCTTGAGTTCTTGTGACCTGTAAATGAAAATGGAGATGTCCCCTCCCCCCGGAGGTGTCCCTCAGAGTTCTTGACCTCTCTCTCTATGTGCCATGTCCCAGCACTTCCTCTCTTTACCCTGTGCTGTTTTCTTCATAGCCTCTACCATTTTCTGAAACTGTTTATTCATGTGCTTAAGTAGATATAATGTGTCAGCATCATGAGGGGCAGATACCTTATCTGTCTTTAGTGCTGTTTTCCAGAACCTAGACTTATGCCTAGCACTATGGCTCACTAAATATTTGTTGAATGTTGAGTGAATATGACTATAAAAGTTTGCAGTCTGACACTGAGTCATTGATAACATGGAAGTCAGTCCTGTGGGCACACCCCTGCCATTGGTATTTTGCCTATATGAATTCTTGCACCCAATTTGGCAAGCTGAAGGGATGAGAATGAAGGTTCCTTGAGAACTTACCTACTGTGTGCCTGGCACCATGTTAGGTCATTTCACATATTTTCACATTAAGTCCTTAACAGTATTCTTCTACAGCTAAGGCCCAGGGATGTTGTTCACAAGGGTCAGAACTTGAAGGAACAGGGTTTGTAGGAGATGAAGCTAGTATTTGAAGCCAAGCCTGTCTTCCTTCACAGCCAGCCCCACTGGCCTGGGAGTTCTGGAATCTGTAGGCATGGGAGGTGGCGGATCCTGCTGAATAACAGTGAGGGGACAGTTCTCAAGTCCTGCCCTGCTTTTTCCTTGGCCAGGTAAGCGAAATGCAGAAACTGGATGCACAGGTCAAGGAGCTGGTACTAAAGTCAGCAGTGGAAGCTGAGCGGCTGGTGGCTGGCAAGCTCAAAAAAGACACGTACATCGAGAACGAGAAGCTCATCTTAGGAAAGCGACAGGAGCTGGTCACCAAAATCGACCACATCCTGGATGCTCTGTAGCCCCTGCCTGCTGTCTCCATGATTGGCCCAGGGTGCTACACTTACAGATGGCAGGTGTGTTTGTGTGTGTTTTGTTCGGGTGGTCAACATTGAGGCCAGTGAATGCTGGCATCTGTATTTTTCAAAAGGCCTTCAAGGAAGAGAAGCCAGGCCCTGCCTCAGACAACACAAGAAGTTTAGTTTTTGTCCCTAAACTGTTTGTTTAACCAAAAAAAAAAAAAAAAAAACCTTATATTCCATTACAAATAAAATATCTTTGTGTTTTGAACAAAGAAATTTTCAATATTTGATTGGTTTTCTTTTGTTCTGAAGCCTAGCTCCTTGTTTTATGCCCTTCTAATTCCTGATGTTTGGGTATTTGGCAAGTGTGTGCATATTTCTTCTTTCTAATATGCTTATTAATTTGAAAGAGAGAAATGTTGATTGGTTGCCTCCCATACACGCCCCAACCTGGGATCAAACCCCCAACCTAGATATGTGCCCTGACCAGATATCCAACACCCAACATTTTGCTGTATGGGACAGTGCCCCAGCCAACTGAGCCACACCAGCCAGGGCAGTGTGTACATGTTTCTTAAAGCATGTGTGACCAAAAGAAAGTAAAGCAGGACTGTGAAACATCTGTTTTATTCTGTGAAAATGTCTTGTAATTTATTTCTTAACTTTGAGTACAGTCCTTTTATTAGATACTTTTTTTTTTTAAATTAATTTATTTACTTTTTAAATACATTTGTCTCTGCCTTCCCCCCACCTCTTTCCCTTGCCCCCTCCCACCTTCCCTCCCTCAGCTCTTCCCCTTTGGTTTTGTCCATGATATTAGATACTTTTTATTCATTAAATAATGGACTTGCTCCTTAGAGTAAGTGTGATACAAGTATTGGTTATGTATGACAACGCTGAGGCCACAAAGGTAAAGTGGCTTTCATAAGGTTGCAGAACGGAGTGATGGAGTGAGTTCTCTGTTTTTGCATTTTTTGATTATGTATTTTTCATCACATGCTCTACAAGGTACTGAGGAAACTATGATGAGCAAAGCAGAGATGGCTCTTTTGGAGGACAGATGGTCAACTGATCAAGCACAAATTCATGATCACAAACTGACAAAACTTTGTGAGGAAAAGGGACACAGGGTCCTCTGATGGTATATACTGGATAGCACTGGACTTAGCCTGCAAGGGAACTGGGGAATGGTTCACTGAAGGAAGTGACTTTTGAGCTGAGCTCTGTAGGAGTTACATAGATGGCAGGGAGTGGTGGGGCTGAGAGTATTCCAGGTAGAGAGCATAGCATGTGCGGAGGCCCTGAGATAGGCTGTGGCTTGACATGAAAGGGATCTGGAGAGTAAGGTGAACAGTGTACCACATAGGGCTGCAAATGAAAAGTCCAGTATAAGATGGGGCTTTATAAGTCTGTCAAGGTTTTTGGCTTTATCCTAAAATGAAGGGAAGACATGTGTGAGACATGCTTAGATTTGTATTTTGGCTGAGAACTGCTGAAGGCTGTAAGGGTGTGGAAGAAAACCTGAGAGCCTCTTGTAATCCAGGCAAAAGATGATGGCTTGGGCAAGGGTGGTGATGAATGATGTCAACATGGATGGAGTTGACAGACTTAGGTTGGGAAATTAACAATGGTAAATGAGTGCCATATTTTCTCCTGCTCTTTCTTCTCTGGGGTATACACTTCATCTTCACCTAGTTAATTCCTGCTCATCCTTCAGGTAACAGTTTAAGGTTTCTGTCTCAGGGAAGCCTTCCAGTACCTCATAATCAATCAAATGCTATTGTGCCCTCTTGTTCTAGCTGTACCTCTCCACATCATACTGCACAGTTAGAATGTGGTTATTGGTCTGGCTCTGATAGTGCAGGGGTTTTGTCTGGTATGCTTACTCTTACTTTATCAGCTAAATGTTCAGATCAGTGTTATACATAATAGGTGGCTTCCTAAATGAATGAGTAGCTTAAATATTGGTAGGGTAGGTTGAGGGATGATTGCGCCATGCATTTAATATGGGAAGATCTGTAAGACCAGATTTGAGGAAGAGAACGATAAATTCTGTTTCAGACATGGTAAAGTGGGAGTGCTTGAGACATCCAAGTGGGAATGTCTGCGGGCAGTTGTATATTCAGGCCTATAGCCAGAGGAGAGGCCTGGCATGGAAATGATGAATGTAGGGGTTGTTCAACATGAAGATGCTATGAGAATGTAGTGATGGAGTTTGTGGTGGAGAAAGGTACTTAGGAAGGGTGCTGAGTAAGAAGAGAACCAGGGCTGAACATTAGGACTGTAAAAGTGGCCACTTGGAACACGCCACTGCACACAAGATGAGAAGTGGCCAGTGAGATAAGAGAAGGACCAGGACTATGTGTTGCCATGGAAGCCAAGTGGAAAGATGTTTCCAAAAAGGAGCAATCAGTGAGTGCTATTGAGAGTTGTGCAAAAGGAAGAATGGGAGATGCCTGTTGGTTTTAGGAGCGGGTCATTTTTTTTTAACTCATATTTTGGTGCCTTTGTAAAACTGTTGGTGGAGTGGTGGGAATGGGGATTGGACTGAGGTGAGGCTTTTTTTGAATAGTGGTGGCATTTCACAGACAGGTTGTGAAAGGGATGAATTTGGGGTAGCTGTGGGAGGATGTGCAGCTGAAAGTTTTAAGATGGGAGAGATTCAGGTGTGTCAAATGCTATTGGGAAGGATTCCATGGCTGAACATAGAGGAGACAAAATGTGGACAATGTGAAGTATTTGATGCAGTGGTATATGGAGTCCAAAGGACAGTGGAAGGACTGGGACTTGGGTAGGAGGAAGACACTTGTCTTCAGCAGTGGGATTCTGCAGTCAGAGGGCCTCCATGGAAACCTGAATCCTACCACCCACATTATGGACTCATGTCCAAAAGCTTTGCCTTTTGGGCATCCATTCCTTTATTTGTAAAACGAAGCAGTATTATATTAGCTGCTTGGTAGGATGGCTCTAAGGATCACATGATGTAATAAGTGGGAAATGGCATATTATAACTGCTTATTAAAGTATTAGCTATTGTTTCCATTTTGTCTCATTTCTCTCTTTCCATTCCTCCAGTCTTAGTGTTGTTTCTGCCCTGAGTCTGGGTCCTTGTAGTGTCCTGTCCTCAAGGGCTGGAAACTGGAGACTGCACTGGGCTGGTGTTCACATAGTGATCTTACGGGCCTGGTCCCACTCACCCCTGGTCTCTGGAACCCCTAGGTGGGCCCCCTGCTCCCCTAAAATTGCCCAACTGACTTGCCCAGCAGCCTTGCAACCCCACCTCTGCTTCTCTAAGGAAGCCCAGGTACAGCTATTTGCTTTAGGACTGGGACCCTGGTTGTCCTGGGCAGGTACCACCTTGGCCCATTTGGCCAATTACTTCACCAGCCTGGAAAAGAAAGAAAAGTTGGCAAGGGTTCATGCCAGCAGGCCTCTCACAGGCCTGGGCAGGGAACTGGGCTTGTGTCCTTGTGTCTCTGAAACCTGTGGTCACATCACTGGGGTGGCCAGAAAGTAAGGCTGAGCACAGCTCATGAGCAAGGCTGCACCCACATTAAAGGCAGGGCAGCCTGGTCATTCCCCAGAGCCAATGCTCTGGCTGTGGTGCCACTTAGGGGCATAGGCCTGGGAACTGCTGCCCCCATCTGGACTAGATAGAACTGGGTTTGGGGTCAGCATGGGAGTTAGGTCGCAGTGTAGATGTTGAGTGATTGGGACTTGGGCTTCCAGATTCCCTGTGCTGGGCCAGATAGAAACCATGACTTACTCAGTGTCCTGGGCCGGGGGCTATGGGTGATACATCCTGCTCTCAGACTCCCCTCCTCCTTAGCTCTGGGCATAGCATCTTAGGACATGGGCAACCCTGAGCTTCCCTGGTCCTCTATTTCCCTGTGGCAAACATGGCCTCACTTTCTTCCTTGTAAATAGTAGGGTGAAGGGTGAAATATGGCCCTGTTATGAATCTTTACCAAGGCCTGCCCCCCTAGACAAGATGAGGTGCCCCAGACACCTGACACCTCTCATTTGGTCTCAGACCCAGCCTACTCTATCTGTGGCCCTCAAGGTGGGTGCATGGAGAGGAGTGCTGCTCCCCCTGGGCTTGCAGGACAATGTTCAGACCCCCAAGCAAGTCTCATTTCTCCAGCATTGGCCAAGATGCCCAACTCCAGTGGCCTGACCCCAGCATCCATCATGGCCTTAGCTTTCAACTGCCCCTACAGCCATAGGTGGTCATGTAGCAGACCCCTGGCCTTCAGCAGCTGCCCGCAACCCGGCTCCTGGCTTAGAAGGGGGAAAACACAGCTGAAGAAGGAGGGCTGGGTGTCACTTTTCCTCCTCCATTTGTCTTGGGGGCTGACATGGGAGAAAACCCCAGAGGGCCAAATGCACCCTCACAGTTTCACCACAAGTATCCTGACTGGGCATCTGGTACTGAGCTGATAGTGCAGGCCCCGGCCGCAGCCCCGCCGGAAACCGCGCTCCCAGCGGTTGGGGGCCGCAGGCCCAGACAGGAAACGCCCCCAGACGTACCCCAGGGCCCATGGCCTTGGCACAGGCCTGCTGCCTTTGACCAGGCCTGGCGCCATTTTGAAGCTGGGCTGGACTCTGGGACTCGCTCGAGATCTGGGGACTGGTTTGTCACCTGCCTGCACAGGTTTGGGAAATGGCAGGAAGGGAAGACAGAACTTCCAGACTGGGCTAGCCAGAAACCAGAGTGGAGTATAGCCTCTACCCTACCATTGTCAAGCCCTCCATGGTGCCCCCGACCAAGCCGTTTAAACTGTCAGCTTCGATCTGGTAGTTGGCTCCATATTTACCATAACAAACCCAGAACTAAATGCAAGGAACACAGAAGTGAACAAAATGGTACTGGGCATCAGGAAAAGCAGACAGAGTAGGGCACATAATTAGGAATAATAGTAGTGTCTTGCCTGTGGGTGATGATGGAGAGGGAGGCGCCTAGGTTCTGGTTCCCTTTTTTGCGTTTCATCCAGCAGATGGAATATAGACAGATCAATTTTAGGATGAGAAATACAGTAGCTCAATCAAATGTTGGTGGGGGAGAGTAAGGAGATCATAGAGAAAGGTTGCAGATCTCGGTGAGAAGGGGTCAACTGAGAGAAAGTACAGGGATGTGATTGAGGGCAGTAGGGAGATTTCAAGGGAGGTCTCTGAGTAATTGGCCCTGCCTCCCACTAGTACCTCAAGGAAACTGGTAGAGAACTATACAAGCT